GGTCGTAGTCCAAACCGTCAAAAGTTCAACCGCTCAAAATCTAAGAATAGGGGTGGTCATAAGAGTGTTGGTAGAAATCAATGCGCCTTTTGCAAAGAAGAGGGACATTAGAAGAATGAGTGCCCAAAGTTAAAGGATAGAGCCGGGAAGCAAAGGGGAAAAGCTGTACAAGCTTCAGAGGTGAATGTTGCTAAAGTTATTGGCGACACTTCAGATTCAGATTCTTCTGGTTATTCTTGTCTCGCACTACCGTCTGTTTGTTATGCTGACTCTACAGAGTGGATGTTGGATTCGGGAGCTACATTTTACATTTGCCCTAAGAGGGATTGGTTTACCAACTTTGAGGAGTTGGAAAGGGGGGATGTAGTGCTCATGGGGAACGATCACGTTTGTCCTATTAGTGGGATTAGCTTAGTCCGGATCAGAATGCATGACAAGGTGACTAGGGAATTGAAAGAAGTGAGGTTCGTGCCGCAGTTGACGAAGAACATCATTTCTCTTGAGACTTTGGAGGCAGCTATTGAAAGAAGTGAGGTTCGTGCCGCAGTTGACGAAGAACATCATTTCTCTTGAGACTTTGGAGGCAGCTGGTTATAGAGTGATCTTAGAGGATCAGTTGACGAAGAACATCATTTCTCTTGAGACTTTGGAGGCAGCTGGTTATAGAGTGATCTTAGAGGATACTACATTGAAGGTCATGAATGGGTCCATGGTGGTGATGCGAGGTGTCAGGGAAAACAATCTATACTACTTGAAGAGTAAGACAATTACAGGGGGTCTGGCTGCTTCTATCACCACAGAAGAGGATACTACCATCCTATGGCACATGAGACTTGGACACACAGGTGATAAGTCCCTTACAGTCATTGGCAAAACAGGGGCTATTGAAAGGTGCAAAGACCTGTAAGATGGAGCTGTGTGAGCATTACATACTTGGGAAGAAGACTAAGTGAAGTTCGGCACCGCTATTCATAACACCCAAGGTATATTAGACTATATTCACACGGATGTTTGGGGGCCTTCCAAGCACACATTGCTTGGCAAGTCAAATTATTTTATCACTTTCATTGATGATTATTCCAGGAGGAATTGGGTATATATAATGAAGCATAAACATGAGGTCCTGGATATATTTATGGAGTGAAAGAAGAAAGTGGAGCTGCAGACAGGTAGAAAGGTGAAGACTCTTCGTTCAGACAATGGTGGAGAGTATAAGAGTGATCCATTCTGTAGTTTTGCCAGGATCACGGTATTAGAAGATACTTCATAGTTAGAGAGACACCGTAACAGAACGGGGTGGCTGAGGGATTGAACCGTACCTTGCTGCAGAAGGTGCGATGTATGATGACGCAGAGTGGATTACCTAGATCCTTTTGGGTCATGACGTTGATTTATGCGAGTCATCTCGTTAATAGGTTATCGTGCATTACGATACAGGGGAAGACTCCTATAGAGCGTTGGTCTGGTTTCGTTGCTAGTGACTATGAAACGCTTTGGATATTTGGGTGTCCATCTTATTTCCATGTCAGTGATGGAAAGTTAATTCCGAGAGCAAACAAGGCCGTCTTTGTGGGATTTAGAGAAGGTGTCAAAGGCTTCAAATTATGGGATCCACAAGACAAGAAGATGGTCATTAGCAGAGATGTCACATTTGATGATGTGTACATAATGAAGCCTCGAGTTCCTCAACAGGTGGAGGAAGATCAGACAGGAGGGATATCACAGCAGGTAAAGGATGATGTGACTCCACCCACTCCAGACAGCACTGTGTCCATAGACCGAGGAGAGTGATTCGTTGGACAGCTAGAGTGATTCGGTTCCTTCCACATTCAGGGAGGCAGAGTCCAGTCCTGATTCTATTAGGTGGAGGAATGCTATGGAGGAGGAGATGTAATCTCTCCACAAGAACAACACTTGGGAACTTGCAAAGCTACTTAAGGGTAAGAAAGCTATTGGTTGCAAGTGGGTGTATGCTAAGAAGGAGGGATCTTCTATTGGGGATATTCGGTTCAAAGCCAGATTGGTTACTAAGGGATATGCACCGCTTGAGGGCGTTGATTACAATGAGGTGTTTTCACCCATTATGAGCATTCTTCGATTCGGATTCTATTGGCATTAGTAGCACAGCTGGATTTGGATTTGGTCCAAACGGACATGAAAAGATGGCCTTTCTACATGGAGACTTAGATGAGGAGATCTACGTGACACAACCCATGGGGTTCAAAGCTGCAGGAAGGGAAGAATTGGTGTGCAAATTGAAGAAATCTCTTTATGGACTAAAGCAATCACCGTGATAGTTTGATAGCTTTATGATTGGCCAAGGGTACACGAGGAGCCCTTATGACCCGTGTGTTTATATGCGCAAGCTATAGGATGGTGAGCACATTTACTTGTTATTATATGTTGATGATATGCTCATTGCCTCCAGGAACACTTATAGGAAAATTGAAAAATGAGCTGTCATCTGAATTTGAGATGAAGGACCTGGGAGAGGCTAAGAAGATATTAGGTATGGAGATTGAGAGAGACAGGGTGAAGGGGAGATTGAAGCTTACACAGAGGAGTTACTTACAGAAGATGCTGAAGAAATTCAGTTTTGAGGGCAATGCCAAGGTGGTGAGTACTCCATTAGCTCCCCACTTCAAGCTTTCAGCTTTGATGTCACCAGTTTCAATGGAGAATCGGGACTACATGTTCAAAGTTCCATACGTCAGTGTAGTGGGTAGCTTGATGTATGATATGGTGTATATGAGGCCAGATTTGTCATAGGCCGTGAGCATGGTATCTAGGTATAGGCACAACCCTAGGAAGGGTCATTGGGAGGCCGTGAAGTGGATTCTACGGTATATTAAGGGTACCGTGGATATTGGTTTGGTATTTGAGAAGAATAATAAGACATGACAGGATTGTATTGGCTACGTGGATTCAGACTATGCCAGAGATCTTGACAAGCATCAGCCCACTACAAGTTATGTTTTTACATTGGCTAGTGCACCGATGTGTTGGAGATGCACTCTTCAGTCTACATTGGCTCTCTCTACTATGGAGGCTGAGTATATGGCGGTGACTGAAGCTGTGAAGGAGGCTTTGCGGCTACATGGTTTGTTGGATGATTTGGGGATTGCACAGGAGACCATTCAAGTATATTGTGATAGCATGTTGGCTATCTATTTGGTGAAGAACCAAGTCTACCATGCACGCACAAAGCACATTGATGTCAGATTTCACTTTGTACGTGACGTATTGGATAATGGTGATGTCACGTTGGAGAAAGTCCACACTAAGGACAATCCTGCTGATATGTTGACCAAAGTGGTTTCAGGTGTGAAGTTTGGTCATTATTTGAATTTATTGAACATTCTTCGATGTTGAGGCCATTGGCGGCCATTTGGATGAACTACGTTCGGCTTGATTCCTTGGGCAAGAGGATACGTAGGCAGTTTTGCAGATGCAGCCGGTTATATTAGTTGAGTTTGATTGGGGGTGTTTGGTTTCGGCTCAATTTTGGAAAAACGTTCACCGAGGTGGAGATTTGTAGGATTGGCAAGAATAGCAAGTTTGGGCTCCCAGGAACAGTTTGACACTGTGTTCGTGCACAGAAGGCACTATACGTCTGGATTGGTGGCGGTCGACCACAGAAGTTTCTGTTTTCGGGGCGGTCGGTCGTCACGGTCAATCGCAGAAGTTGCTGGAGATTCGTTGCTGCTCTGGGATTGCGGGCGGTCGACCGTGGCATCGACCGCGATACCTACGCGGTCGACCGTCACGGTCGACCGCCGAAGCGGTTTTGGGCTGATTCTGGGTTCCAGACCCGTTTCGTTTGGGAGTTGTATAAATACCTTTAATTCGTTTTTAGGGTTTAAGGAAGAAGATTTTGAGCTGAAGAAAGAGGAGATTTGGGGCTTCTATTGTTAGAGCCATTTGGAGAGATTAAGAGGGCTTATTTGTGGGTTTGTGGTAAGATTTGTAACCCTAATTGTATTCTCCTTGATTTCTATTAGTAAACCCCCCCCCCTCCTTGCCTTGTGGACGTAGGCAATTTTCCGAACCACGTATATTGTGTGTTCTTGCTGTGATTGAGTATGGGTTGTGCTATTGGGTTTATTATTGGTTCTTGTGTGTGCTATTGATTTACCGAATCTCCGCCGTGCACAACATCCTCCTACCCAGTGGTATTGAACCCTAAGTCGGCAGCCTCCTCTCCATCCCTGTAGGTCGGCTCCTACCATTCGAAATCTTAGGCTTCTCTTCCGTGTCAGCTGCCCCCTTCTCTATTTAGGTCGGAGGGTTGGTAGTAGCTTGGGAGAGATTGTGAGCGACGGTGAAGAAGACCCTGAGCTTTGTGCTCTCCTCTGCTTTGTGCGATCCATCCTCTCCCTTCTAAAGCTTTGTGCTTTCACCCTTTGTGAGGTGAGTGGAGAGACATTGGAATAGTTGTTTTCCCCCTTTTGCGTTCTTGGTGGTGCACAAGAGAAAGAGAATTGATTGGTTGATTAGGCTTTTGAGCCAAAGAGCGACGACGTCGATCCTCAACAAGAGTGCTTCTGCTTATTCTTTTAAGAAGCCGTCAATACTGATGGTTTGGTAAAAAAAATATATGCTTATTAAAATTATTTCTTCTTTTAAAAAGTGTTTTTAAAAGCAACCACATGATGCTTTTAAGAGCAACATATGCTTTTGTTAAATTTATACACAATATATGACCTTTATCTTTCGACACTAATGATAAGTTTTGTTAAACACCTAAACTGTTTTTGGAAGCACCTTAAGATATGTAATTACCAAATAACTATTTTCAGTAGCTTATACAAGTCATTTTTATAAACTCCTTGTATAAACAACTTATTATAAACTCCTACAATACCATGTATCACCTCATGGCTGAGGTGGAGAGGGAGTTATGATTGCTTGGCGTTTGGAGAATTAGTCAAGTTCCTTTTTTTTTCTTTTCAGTTTGCATTTGCACATTTCGCAATGAATAGAAAGCTGGTCATGAAATATGAAATAGAAAAGACAGTTTTCATTTGAATCTAAGAAGCAGGGATGCCACAAGGTATTGTGATTGCGATGGTTGAAGTTTCCTGAGGTGCTAATTGGAACTTTACATTCTTCACGAACATTCAGGATTCTGATGTTTCAGATTTATTACTCAAAGAAGAGGTAACCTCAAGCATAGTTACTTTAACTTGTAACCTGATCAGAGACTCTTTACAAGATACCCTCTCTAGGATCAGCCAACTTCACTATCTTCTTTCCGATATTGTCGCCACGAAAGAGTCCTGCAAAGGCTGAAGGTACATTCTCAAGACCATATGAGATGTCTTCAAGCACATGGATTCTTCCTTGCCGAAGATGATCGGAGATTGAAGATATAAATCCAGCATGTTTATCGTGGTGATCATAGGTTAGGAACCCACGGATGGTGATTCGCTTGTAGATCACGTCTAGCATGTTAGGTGCAGCTCTTTTCCCTTCGTCGGTATACTCTGCAATCACACCGCATGCAGCCACTCGTCCTAACAGATTCATGTTGGCAACTGCAGCATCTAACATTTCTGCGCCAACATTGTCGAAGTATATGTCTATTCCCTCGGGAAAATACCTATCAATACACAACCAAAAAAAGGCCAAAAAAAAGGAAAAAAAGATGGAACTAGCATCAGTTTCCGGAGCCTGCCTAATTAGTCTGCGTCGCGAGCACTTGCAGTTGCTTGTGGACATGTGCGGATGAAATATTGTATGAGATGATTTATTCAAAGTGGAGGCTAGATTTACCCCTGAGAAAAAGGGAGATAGATCTTTTCCTTAGTTAAATGTCTCGAGTTTGGACCACCTAAAAGACCTATTTTGGGGTGATTTTTGACAGGTTACTTGCTTAAGATGGGATCTCTCCCATTTGAAGAGAACAACAAAATTGGAATTGGTGAATACCCTGCGGTTTCTCAAATGTAAAGAAAATGTACTAACCTTTTAAGTGCAGATTTTAGATCTGGTTCTTCTTTGTAGTTAAATGCATCGTCAAATCCAAGCTTGTCTTTGAGCATGTCGACCTGAATCACAGCACGCAATGAAAGATTTATTGGCAACATTCCCAATCAAAATTTGGCAGTGAATAATACTTAACGTAGACACGGGTATGACACAAAAAGGACACGGTGACGTGGAAAATTCTCAGAAAGCATAAGATATGAAGGCTTGATGACGTGCATGAGTTACAATGACATACAAAATCTGTAGAGACTAGGATATATTATTCATTGGACATAGATAGAAAACCAAAATAGAGTTTGATTTGAATCCGGCCTCTAATCAAGTGACTAGGTCAAACAAAAGGGTCAACCCGATGTATCGTCCACTACAAGCGTATAGGGTCTCTTACGTGTTTACAAGGTGATCAATTTTTATTAATTGAAAAGTATCGTTTATTTGTTTGCTTATACGACTTAACACGGCACATCATTAGAATTTTGTAGAAGTTGACACTGCTCCCGCATTTTTGGCTCCTGCTCGTAAGTGTCTAATATGTGTCGAATAAAATTCAATATTACTGTTCTAGTGATTAGTTGGAAACCTTTTTCTTACTACCAGCGCATCCAACAACATAGCAACCAGAGAGCTTTGCAAATTGTCCAACCAGATTGCCAACTGATCCTGATGCTGCAGATACGAACACTTTTTCACCTTTCTTCGGTTTGCAAATCTCGTAAAGTCCACTATAAGCTGTAAGTCCGCTTGTTCCTGAATCATTTATGAGCAAAATACTAGTCAGTACCATATACACTAAGCTCTGAAGCTTAATTTCTTGGTGTTATATGTTGGTTACCTAGAACACCCAAATTGTATGACAGTGGGAATTCAGTTGTGGCTATCTTGCTGATTATGGACCCAGGCTGAACAATAGAATACTCTTCCCATCCAAGAACTCCTTTGACCAGATCATCCTTCTTAAAGTCTGGGTTGCTGGAGACCACAACTCTCCCTACACCAAAAGCATCAATTTTCTGTATGAACAAGACCATAGGTTTAGTGCATGTTTCAAGCCTTCTTTGAACCCAAAATTTTAAAAAAAAACTAACATTTTGGGTAAATTGTATATAACCCCTCTCATCTGTACCTTCATACGTACTTAAACCACCGCAACCACTTATTAGCAGTCAGCACCCCTGGATTTCCATTTTTACAAAGAAATTGTGGGTGACACCCCCTCTCCCTCATGCATTGCGGGGGGTTTGAGTGCTGATAAATGAGTTTAGGGTGGTCAGGTGCAGCTAAAGATCTAGATGAGGGTTATGTCCAAATTACCCTTAAGCTTTAAGATCCAGAATTAACTCACTTCTCTTGGCACAAGCTGTGTAGCGAAAGTTATTGTCCCCTGTGAGGAGCTGTACTTCTTCATGCGATTAATCTGGTAGGGGTCGATGGACACATATAGATTCTTAACGATCATATCTTTTGATCCTTCCTCTATTTTCAATGACAGTCGGGTGCTTGTGAGCTCCAGGTTGGATTCTGATGGATCGCCATTCACGCAGGTTTTGAGCGTGATATACATGTTCTCTACCTCCATGTTCCCCACTTTTTTCTTTTGCAATTTCTCTTGAAGTATTACTGTATAGTACTATGTTCTTCTTTTTGCTATATGAATAGAACTGGTGAATTTCTTTTCCAGTTTCTGCTTATATAAGATACGAAGAAATACTAATGGCCGACTACTGGAAGAAAAAACAAGGATAAAAGTTAAAGGATGCCAGGTAATGTTAAGGGAGGATATCAAGAAGAGATCAGCAGAAGATGCCCGGGAAAATAGAACGAGAAAACAAGAAGCATAAAGGACAAATTGATGATGAGAATTTAGTTCGCAGGATCAGAAAGAGCATCATTTAGCCTTCCATGAAATTTAAAAATATGTTTATGTTGTGTTGACTTATGAATAATAATGATTAGGGTCTGCAATTAAGAGAAGAACAGGTTTTCAAATCTCTCCACAGCCGGGAGAAAGGAAAGGAGAACCTCAGGCAATGGTACAAGGTATACTTTTGCTCTGAGTTAAAAAGATCATTTTGACCATAAGTCTAGAGAGCTTTGTCCTATAATTAACCTTGTTTGATGTGACAAATATCAAGATAGAAGGGAAAAAGACTTCACTTTTCCAAGGACTGTGGCCTAGAACATTTTGTTCTTGGAAGGAGTTTTTTGACTTTTCAAATCGCTTGTATTAGATGTACTAAATTTGTATGAAGAATTTTTTGCAGACAGCTGAGAAAAAGATGTTCTTGGCAAGAGTTTTCTTTCTTTCTTTTTTTCCCTCCTTTCCTTCTAAGGAAACAGAGATTCTATTACAAAGCATGAACAAGTGTTTGAGTACAGATATGGTCCGGATGATCACTGACCAGAGAACACACTCAAAGAGCTGGGGAGTAGGAGGGGGATCTAGTAGCCTGTTGCAAGTCCGAAACAATAGATGGTAAAGCTGCTTCCTTCGCCAATACTAAGACTTCTCATAACAACAAAGCTTTCATCGACCCAAGAGAGTCTGGCCGAGTTGGATAGTTGCCTATGAATTGTACTCCAACATCCCAGGTTCGACTTTTCGGGGAAGCACCCATAAGAATTTAAATTTGTGGAATACCCAAGGCTGTGCATCGGGGGATGCCCTTTAGCCACGCCCGGGGGTTTGATGATACTCGTGATTCAAAGGATCACGGCGAAGTTCCCTCACAAAAAAAAAGAAAAGAAAAAAACAAATCTTTTATCCGGAATTTTTGGGATCAGCAGCGTAGCAACATGAACCTATGCTGTGAAGCTGATTGAGAATTGACTGGCAGGGTTCATGGGTTATCCCTAGATTGTGAAGCTGTGTAGCTTCGAGAATCCGAAAAATGTGGAGGTGAATATTGTTGGAGACTGGTGGAGAAAACTGCGTGTAGGTCAATCTTAATAATTTTCTTTAATGAAACCTTCACCACTTGGACTAATCTTTGTTCAGAGCCGTACTTTAAATTTCTGTTTTTGGGCAACTTCAGATTCATTTCGGATTTGCTTGCGTTTGAAAATATCTGTTTTTGGGCAACTTTAGCTTCATTTCGAGTTTGCTTGCGTTTCATATGAAACACTAATAACACAAGGATGCAACGCAAAATAACCTTATATCAAGTTAGTCTGAATACTAGGAATCCTGACCACATGAAAGCTCCAAAGAACGGAAGTAATATTTATAATCAAATTGCTGAGAGTTATTGAGAATTAAACCTGAGAAGCAAAAGTACCAAAAAAAAAATTGTTATTTAATCTGTAAACCAAAAAGAAAAAATATTCATGCAACCAGGTACAATGTCAACAAGTCTATATCCGAAATTTCAACATTGATCCCTGCAATTAGGTATATTTAAATCAACCCACCAAACCCTAACAACAATAAAAAGTTACCATCTTTCAGAAACAATTAAGCACGCACAAATTCTGCCAATCATCAATGTGAAACAAAAATGTATTGAACTAACTCTAGATTATACATATTTTTTACAGAAAAAAAAAATTAATGCATTGAACTAACTCAAAACAGAAACAGGAAGTAATATTTATAATCAAATTGCTGAGAGTTATTGAGAATTATACCTGAGAAGCAAAAGTACCCAAAAAAAAATGTAAGATCCCACTAAATTGCTATCAAATGTTTCTCAATCACATGTTGTCTCGGGTTTAGGTAAAGGTAGAATTTTAATTGGGAATGGAACTTGGATTTAGGGGTTAATTTTTTTTTTCCCTTTCTTTTTAGGCGGGCGGGTGGGTTCTAATAAAATATGTAGTTGGGTCGTCCGAGATGAGAAGAGCAAAGCCACAAAATTTTCCTTGGAATTTCTTATTCAAAATTCAATAGGAAAATATGTAGTTGGATTGCGATATGGATTCTAGAAAAAACATGCTGTTATATATTTTATTAAAATTGATGTAATGTTTTGGTTGTAGTAGGATTTTGGGTTTAAAAATAAGTGGAGTTGAAAGTTGGATTGGCAAAGAAGAGATATCTATTAATGATTTTTTTTTTACTATGCTTTCTATGTTATTTGGTTATAAACTTTAAACAGTGCATCATGCAACCGGATGGTGACACCTCACATGTCTCATGTCTTGGATCCCCTATTTGGGTCCATGAGACATTAATGAAACTTATAATCCATCTATCACTAGCCAATAAAGAGTCTGTCACTTTCTATTTTGACACGTGTCACCCTCTAAACAACTATCCCTATTTCACAATAGTTATTTAACCAATTTCTCTCTCTAAACAATTCATTATCTCAACCTGACCTCTACATAGCTATCACTGGTCATTTTTAATCAAACCCAACTCCCCTTCATCTCCCCTATCTCATCTCTTCATCTCTATAAATCCATTGAATATCTCACTGCCCTCATTTCCCCCTCTTTATTCATTTTCCTTTTTTACTTTACAAAGAAAATTAAAATCTTTAATCACTTTTGGCCTTGAATTTCGGTTATGATATTCTAAGGTGTATTCACACTCCTATTTCTAAGATTTCATCATCATATCTTATGGAGTATTTCTTAGAGTTGGTACAAAATGAAAGAGGATTGCAATTGTTCACATTCTGCTTCCATCTTTCAAATAAAAGTTGACACTTCTGTTGGGAAAAACAAGTATCAAAACAGATCCAACAAAACCATATAGGAAAGAAAAAAAGAGCAGAGAGTTAGAAATATCATATTAAATAAATTCAAGTTTGAAATACTTTACAGATGTAATCGCCCTCTTAATAGAGGACTGACATTGAAGAAACTATGACCCACCTACGGTAGTGTTGGATTTGCACAGTACTTCCAAGGATGAGATGACTGCAGTCCAAAGAAGCGCTCTCTTCTTGTGAACATCACGACAACTTCTTCAGTTCGCCAGAACCTCCAATACTTAACAACTTATAGAATTATTAAAAGAAGAAGAAGCCAAGGGATTTCATTTTTTTGTGTTTTTCAAATGATCAGCAGAAGCCCTTTTTATAAGGTTCATGGGAGACAAAGATTTGAAATCCAGTTATTACAATGTTTGTAACGGTTACAATAAAACCTATTCAATCCTTATAACGTTTGTAACGTACGAAATGTTCACCTGGTTTTAAATGAGCATATGCAAAACATTTAAGCTCATTTAAAGACAGCACGTGCAAAAAGAGCACACGCCAGCACACGCGTCGGACCGCACACCCGAGCCCGCGCACACGAACCGCACACACCCGAGGCTGCGTACACGAGCTCATTCGCACGGTCCCGCTCGCTTGTTCGCACGCTCACTTATATACCAACAAGTGTATAATACTAACACCTTTCTTATACCATATATAATATGTGTGTTAATTTAAACTAACTAAAATGCATTCAATTAGTCAATGTGAGACTAAAACTCACATAATACTTATTAAACACATTTTAGTCGATGGAATCCAATCATTAAATGATATCTTTCTATAAAAGCCCTCTAAGATTTAGTTATTACAATATTCCCCCACAATTCTATAGCTGACAGTAATTAAGATTATACATATCATGCTTTCAGAGAAGGCATCTTCCAATTTGAACATTCTCTATAGTTATCCAATTTTATCACCACAGGCACGAAATGAAACTAAGTCTTAAACTTGAATCTTTAATATGGTGATATTCATTGGTAACAACACGATGTACGCTATAGAAGTAATTTTTAGGTTTGACGCATTATGTCATGCATCATTATCCTTTTCATGAACAATTTCAAGGAATAACCTACTTCCTCTAATTGCGGCCACACAATTATGTTCATATAGTTGGGCATCTCCGGGGATGCACTACTTGCATCTCGTCTTAAAGACTGGATCCTATTCAGAGTCGAAATACTCTTACTATACTAGCAGTTATCAACACCTTCCAGGTATACATGATGATAGACTCAGATACAAAGTATCAATCTATAATTAGGTGTTTAACTCACTCAACAGTTTATTGTTATCACATTAAACCTACTTTGTAGGATCTCCACTCAGATAGGTTTGGGTTGCTACTGTCGATGAGTTAGGTAAGGGTTTCAGTCCCAACATCAAGCTGGATTTAAGAACTAGTGACAACTCTAGTCCTTTTATAAAGGGATATGCTATGTTGTCCTTGGACCTAACAAAGTCCACAACAAATACCCCTTCATCAACAAACTTCTTCACAATCTTTATCCGTATTTGGATATGACCTCGAGTTTTGTGGTTATACTTTAAACTTTTAATTCTTACAATTGTGATCATATTGTCACAATGCACAGAGATTGTAGGAATATGCTTGCTGAACATGAGCAATTCGGACATAAGTCACTTAAGCCATTCAGCTTCTAAACTAGTAGTGTCCAAAGCGCAAAGTTTTGCCTCAAACGTAGAAAGAGACAAAATGGTCTGTTTGACAGATCTCCAGGCGACATCATCGCCACCTAAGGTAAGTACATATCCTGTACAACCATTGCTACCTGAACGCATAGTAATCCAGCTAGCATCACTATATCCCTCCATAACGAGAGGGAATCTACCGTAATGCAGTGCAAGGGAAACAGTTCCCTTCAGATACAGAAGTATCCTATCCAAGGCCTCCTAATGAGTCATATTTAGACAGCTAGTGTATCTACTTAATTTAGAAACTGAGTAAGATATATCCGGCCTTGAACAATTTGCAAGATACGTCAAGCTTCTAATGATCTGAGAATATCTCAATTGAGATACAGAGACTCTACTTACATACTTGTAGAGAGTTACTAAAGGATTATATGGAGTTTTGATGGGTTTGCAATTCTTATAGACAAATTTCTCAATAGCCTTCTTAACATAATGAGATTGAGAAATAATTATACCATCAACTGATCTTATTAGTTTTAGGCCAAGAATCACGTCAGCAACTCCCATATCCTTCATTTCAAACTTACTACTCAAGAACGACTTAGTCTCATTGATTATCCTAATGTTAGATCCAAACAATAGAATATCATCAACATAAATGCATAGAAGAATACAAGAATCACCTCTTACTTTGCTATAAACGTACTTATCAGACTCAATCATTTTGAAAACAAAATCGATAATAGTTGTATCAAACCTTTTACGTCATTGTTTAGGGGCTTGTTTAAGTTCGTATAGAGACTTCACAAGTTTACGTACTTTCCTTTCAATTCTAGGTGATACAAATCCCTCAGGTTGATCCATATAAATCTCTTTTTTAAGAAAACTATGAAGAAAAGTAGTTTTTACATCCATCTAGTGGATTGTAAAATCATATATAGAAGCTAATGTTATAAGCATTCTGATTGTAGTCATTCGGACAACTGGAGAGTATGTGTCAAATAAATCAATCCTTTCAACTTGTTTGAGCCAATTGGCAATAAGTCTGGCCTTAAATTTTTCTATGGTTCCATCTGATTTGATTTTTCTTTTAAAAATTCATTTAGACCCAATTATCTTGCACCCAGGAGAAAGATCAAATAATTCACATGTCTCATTAGAGATAATAGAATGCATTTCACTTTTGACAGCTTCCTTCTACTGTTTAGCCTTTTTCGAGGCCGTAGCGGATGTAGGAAATAGGATCATCCTCGATATTATAAGTGAGAAAGTTATTTCCAAAATCTTTGACGATCCTAGCTCTATTATTCCTTCTAGGTTCATCTAAATCATCTGATCTTTCAGATTCAGATTTAGAACTATCTGCTTCCACATTTGTCATCCTTTCCACATGATCAGAAATGGAAGTTGAGACAAATACTGAATTTTCATTAGAAACATTTTGAGGTATTCTAATTTTTATAGGGAAAACATCCTCAAAAAATGTTGCTTCATTAAATTCAATAGTTGTATTAACATCTATGCTTGGGATTTCAGATTTGATCACTAATAATCTCAAAACATAGGTGTTTTCTACATAACCTAAAAAGATAGAGTCTACTGTCTTAGGAACTAGCTTCTTCCTATTATGTTCTGAGATTAGCACTTATACTAGACACCCCCATACTTTAAGGTATTTTAAGCTTGTCTTTCGACCTCTCTAAAGTTTAAATGGACTACTTTCTTTATGTTTCTGAGGGACTCTATTCAGAATATGGTAAGCCTATTCAAAGCCTCTCACCACATATATTTAGGAAGTCCTGAATTTTCAAATAGACTATTAATCATATCTTTTAAGGTTCTATTTTTTCGTTCAGCTACACATTAAGACTAAGCAGAATAATGAGCAGTTTTCTCATACACTATGCTAAAAGATTAACATAGAAGAGTAAACTCATTTGATGTTTATTCTCTACCTCTACCAGATCTTAACCTTTTAAGTTTCTTGCCAGTTTGAGTTTCAGCTTTATTCTTAAAAATAATAAATTTTTATTGAGCCTCATCTTTAGTTTTAAGTAAACATAATAATATTTGTTATAGTCATCTATAAAGGTGATAAAATATTTCTTCATGTCTTTGGTCAAAACATCATTAAATTCACAAATGTCAGTATGAACTAAATCAAGCAACTTAGAGTTTCTATCACCTTGAGTTATGAAGACATGCCCTGATTAGATCTTAATATGGTTGTACACTGCCTTAACATTAACCTTAGTGTCAAATTGGTAAAACAACAACTACGACACTTTCGTCATGAGTTGATGGAGCAGTTCGAGAAAGAAATCTACAAACTCATTGAATGTGGGTTCATCCATTAGGAACAACACTCGGATTGACTGGTAAATATCATGGTAGTGATGAAAAAGGGTAAGATCCGGATCCACATTGATTTCAAGGATCTTAATCGTGCTTGTCCAAAGGATGAATTT